GTTCAGCAGTGCAGTTACAAAAAACAGATCTTTAAATTATATCGTGTAGAGATTTCTCTTGGTACCAATATTATCCCCTCCACTTTTCGGGAAACTGTCGTCTAACCGTATTCGGGAGCGTTCCGATTAACCACGGTACGATTGGACACAACCAACCGATGAAAAGAATTATCTAGTGAATTACTAGGTCGAACCAATCATTACAATCTGTGTCCAATCGTATCATGGTCAATCGGGTCCCACCCATCGTATTCGCATCTTAAGACATTACTTAAGGTTGCCGTCCCATTGAGCACGGATCGGAACGCCGGATCGGATTTCTTACTATAATGAGCGTTCCGTTCTCTAGTTCCGTTCCGTAAAAGTTTCCTCTACCAGTCCCATGTAGCAAAAACGGAACGGATTTCTAGTTATAAAATATATTTCACTCTTCAATTAAATATTTCAGAATATTCATGACAAGTTATCGACAAGATAATTGCATAAATTATGTATATAATTAATTCTGTCGCGTCAAAATAACGAAATATTGACGAATTAATCATATTTATTTGCGACCGACGCGCCATTCCGTTCCGTTTTTGCTACATGGGACTGGTAGAGGAAACTTTTACGGAACGGAACTAGAGAACGGAACGCTCATTATAGTAAGAAATCCGATCCGGCGTTCCGATCCGTGCTCAATGGGACGGCACCCTAAGACGATCTTGAAATAAGATTCGACTATGAATACTGGCCTTATATATATTGTATTATATATATTGTATTTTATATATATATATATATATATATATATATATATATATATGTGCTTCGATAAAACTGGAGGCATCCATCTTGCTCAACACTGAGCAAGATGTTGTGCTTCAGCGTACTTTCAGTTCGCTGAAAAACATGACGACCGCTGAGTAAACATGTTGCGCCGCTGAATGCGTTAAAGAATGCGTTCAGCGAACTCAACAATTGCACAACAGTTGAGTAATTCGTCAATGTAATTGATCTAGATTTAGGGATCTAACAGTAAAAACCAATAATCGCTGATTGTTCACTGAGCGCTTTTTTCGCTGAACGCGCCCAAGTATTGTTCAGAGAGTCAATTCTGTATCTCGAAACGAAGTAAAAATTACAAAAGTGAGTACATTCACTAGGCACTGACCAATGAAATTACGAATATTCTAGTATATTTGCTCACTTTTGTAATTTTCACTTTGTTTCAAGATACAGAATCGACTCCCAGCAGAAAATTATAAAACAGTTGTGCAACCGTTGTGTCCTGCTGAACGCAGTCATTGGTTAACTTATGTCGGAACCGTAAAAAATTGACCAATCATAGTCGAATTATAGAAGAATGATCGATTGTAATTAATCAATTTTTTACGGTTCTGGCATAAGTTAACAGATTACGGCCAACGTAAACTAGCCTTTAAAAGTAAAATTTCCTCGGAAAGAACGGAATGCAACCTTAATAGCATTTGCGTTGGTAGCGCGACAGCGAGCTCCCCGAACACACCCAACATACAATCATTCCCCTTGGGCTTCACCCCCGCGACAATTCGCTTCGTCTATATATTCTTACATCCATGCGCAGACTTAATATGTGTGCTTTTATTTTTTCGTAGGAAATGGAAAGTGCAACATAGTGCAGTTAAAGAGAGCAGTTTCAACTAGTGGCTTTGAAAAGGTATCAAAAGAGGTAAGAAAAGACGACTGGCATGTCTGACAACTATGAGTCGATTGGATCTTAGTAAGTATACGTGTACCATTTACTCAATTTACCGTTCATCATAAATCTTCACCGGCCGTAATTTCGCCAGCGTGCTTTTTTTTTTTGTGAAATTTTGATTGTATGCCAACGCGATCGAACGCATTCGCGAAAACAGAGAGACGGTCAAAAGTGGTGAGTAGCGTTGGCGCAATAACCAGTCAAAAACACGCCGTTTGATTGTCAGCCAAGAGGTACATTTCAACGTGCTCACAAAGATTATTTCGAGATAATAATACAACAAAATATATGACAGTTTCGTTATTTATTTTTCATCTCCCGATATTTTTTATAAGGAAATGATAATTTGTATTTTGATGCACTTGGTTTCTCGTAGCTCATTTTTGACAACAAAACGTGGTTATCACCACGTAGCTTCAAGATTATAAATTTGCGCTCAATTTTAAGAGATTTATTTTTAAATAGGTAAACAAAGCGATGATGGCCGAGAGCAAAAACAAAAGGAGATGAGGCAAGACTGAAAGAGTGGAACAGCTGTGAACAGCAAGAATACAACTAAGAAGAACAAAGGAGAAGCTAATGTGTGAATACACATTTGACACACTACGAATATTATCTACTAATGTTTGGTGATTGATAAACACATGTGCATAAACTAAAGTAAATGGTTGAACATATCGATTAATCTTGTAAAACAGAAGAGTTAGATAATAACGTTAATCCATTCTTAGAAGACACTAATCTTGGCTTAGTCTTCAATATCATACACGATAAACAGTGAGTATTCTTCATATCAATATAATTGTGCTTTAGTCTCTCATATTGTATCCTATTCCATGATACACACATTGGGAAAATTATAAAAATAATATATGTTACACACGATGTATTTACAATAAATAATATATGATATGTTGTAATTAAGTTATTTTAAGTTACGCTCCAGGTATCCATGAATAATTTAAATTTTTCTTGTAATATTCCCAATTTCTATATCACTGTAAAGTCTGTTAATTTAAAAGTAATGATAAATATTTATTTTAGTGAGTTATCGGGCTCATAGAGTGTTTGATAGGTATAGTTTGATTATAACTGTTTGCTGATTATGCTATCAGTGTAGAAAATAGCATTGCAAAAATAACATGCAAAAAATAGTGCATCCTTTATATCTTTTGTCTCTCATTGTTACTGCTGTATCATTCCTGTAAGATACATGGGCTTACAGCTATTCTATGTGCAATATTCTCCTTTTAACACGACGGTCGTGCTTGATAGATGGATTACAGCTCGCTGATCGCATTCGATTTCGATCACACCATCTGCGAGGACAATTCCGATATGGTGGCGCGAAAATTAGTACCTGAGGAGAAGATACCAGAAGATGTGAGGAGCTTATATCAGTCTAATGGCTGGCTGGTATACATGAACAAAATCTTTGAGATCCTGCATAAGAATTCCATCGATAGGAAGCAAATCAAGAACGCCATCATTGCTATTCCAGCGGTCGCGGGCATGGAGAAGCTGCTCGCCACTCTACATGCCAACGGCCACGAGATCATTATCATCAGTGACTCGAATTCTTTGTTCATAGACTGGTGGCTGAAGAGCAGGAAGCTCGATCGCGCTGTGTTACGAGTCTTCACAAATCCGGCCTACTTCGACAACGACGGCAGGTTGAAAGTCGATATGTATCACATGCAGCGTACTTGCAATCTGAGCAGCATTAACCTATGCAAGGGAAAGATATTGATGGATTTTATCGAAGAGCGACGCGCGCAGAACGTGTATTACGACAGAATAGTCTACATCGGCGACGGCAAGAACGATCTGTGTCCGATCTTACGTCTCTCTGAGACCGATTTGGCTTGCCCGCGCAAGGACTACGTGCTCATCAAGCGTTTGACTAAGTTACCTCGCAATATGTACCCAGCAGCAACTATCGTGGCATGGAAGGATGGTGAAGACTTGCTGCAAAGTCTAGAAGAGGCTCAAAGAGCTGTGAAAAAAGAATAATTCTGTGTCGAACATACGTCGTATATTCTTCCTCGTTGAGTTGCCGTACGAGAAGAACTTGCTCGCGTCACGCTTATCGCGCTAATTAACTGGAGTCATTAACTGGAGGCTTATCAAGCATTATGAGATACGCGAGTAATTGTATTTGCTTTCTCAATTTTCCACCGTCGTATTTTCCGATAACTCTCTCAAATCGCACTTACCGGTTACGTTATTAGGGAAGATATTGAATAACAGGTCGTTCTTGTGAAACTGCATCTGTTTTGTGAAAATAACGAGTAAATTGTGTTTTCTTTTTTGGTGAGTAACAACTCCACATTTTATATCGAGTTATTACAAACTAAAGATACAATATTATTATATCTTAATAATAACAATAATCTTAGTAATAACGATAGTAAATCTCAATTAAAATAGTTTTTCGATGCAATTATATAAGTGCACGATATAAATTATACAAATGACATTACACATGTTATATATTTATCTCTAGAAATTATATCGAAAGTGATTCTTGTATATATCGAGCATGTTTGGCGCATTTTTCAGAATAAAATCTATTTCTTGATAAATAAATGTTATGAATTCAGAGTGATAGAAGACTATATTCGAAACGCAAGAGTCGTCGACCTATCGTCGTGCGATCGAGATCGATCGTGCGAGAAAATATATCTGTATATTTCGAATTCAAACTCAAATCCAGATCGCACGGCATCGTTTTCATTATGCGATAGTGCACGATACGCAATAACCAGTCGATATACAATCTGTATTTCTCTCGCGATGCGCGCGCACCGTGGAGGTTAAGACGGGCTTGTGACGTGCACACAGTGATGCGCACGGTGCCTCTCTAACGTTAATTGTTGTTACGTTACTTATTGTCGTTCGCTATCGCGGACGTGGATTAAAAAATCTGACGAATTCCGCTCGCGTGACCGACAATGTCGCCGTGAAGCCTCAAATATCCGATCGACGATCGAGTATCTCGATTTTCAAATCTCGAAGCAGCCCTTCGAGCGATTGTCTCCCTCTCTCCGCAATTACCTATATAGCGATTGGAACTTTATTCGTGATAAGCGATAAGTGAGTAAACGACCGTCCACTTTGCGAATTAATTCCTTTCGTTTGACGTGACAAGCAAACACCAAGTATTTAGCGCTGTTGAATCGCATGACGCCAGTACTTGCAGTCGTGTCGGGCTTTTTCCGCTCTCTATATGTAGCACGGGGTACGATTATTTGATTACCTATCCGAGAATATTTCTCGTCGTCAACGATAATCCATGCGGAGAATAGTGTAGTTGCATACGGTACTCTAGAAGACATTGCAAGTGTTCCGTAAAAGCGATACTTTTACGTGCTGGAGATATACATTTACACATGAAAACAAAACTTTGATATCAACACGCAAGTATTATTTATATATTTGTGTATGGAATATAAAATCCTAATTTTAATTGAACTTAATTACTTATAATTGATATTATCATTATTGGATTAAATAGTGCATATATCTTACTCAACTGGATATATTCTGTTCTCTTTTGCATTATCGTTACTATGAAAAGCTCTTGGATTTGTACTATATGTATATTAAAGATATCTTGTGCATTTAAAAAAGTAACTTTTGAATGTCATTAAGTATTATTTATATTTGTATAGAATATGAAATTACAAATTACAATTTTAAACAAACTTGATTATTTGCAATTGACATTATTACTGCATTAAATGCACATAATTTACTTAAGTATCCTGTTTTCTTTCGCATTGTTGTTGCTATGGAGCTCTTGGATTTATATTATATGTATATATTAAGAATATTTTGCATTAAAAAGCTTTTGGATATCACAAGTATTACTTATATTCATTAAATACGAAATTTTAATTTTAAGCAAACTTCATTATTTGCAATTGATACCATTACTTTATGTATTAAATAATATATATGTATATATATTTTTTTTTATTTAGCTGGATATATTCTGTTCTCTTTTGTATTATCATTGCTACAAAGTTTTTGGATTTTTATTATGTATATATTCAGAATATTCCTTATAGTGCCAAAAGAAATTGCACTCAAGAATGTAGTGTTGGTTAACCATTGGGGTGCATGGATGCATGAAAACACTCTCAGTAGAGTTCCCAAGAATATTGGTGACCAGAGAAGCACGCATAATATCAATAATATTTTGACAACTCTACATATTCGTGTAATGCAATTTACTTCTAAAAGCATATCTCTGTTCTGTGCTTCCACACAGCTCTCGTGATTTTTACCTGTTGTTCCTATATCTGTTCTGCTACCGTGATTGTCTGTTGTCTCTAATGATTTGTTGAAACCACTGGTTGAATTTTGGCGACTAGTGCTTCCACTGCTAGTGGAGAACCATTCCGTACGAGTACCCTCCTTAACAATAACTACGTTATCATCGTCGTCGGTGTTACCGTGAAGCAGAATAGACATGAGATCGACCTTTGCTTTTAACATCGCAAGCGTATTCTCACACGCGTGCTCCCCTCGCACTTGTAGAATGCAACAGAGCAGAATCGGCAGGAAGTATATCGCGAAGGACAATACGAACAAGTGCAATTTTAGAAATTTATTCGAAACGAAGCACTCGTTGATCATGTGAGGCGAACTGCTTGTCCCAGTGTCAAGATCGTGATCAAAATGATCGTATTTAGATAAGTCTGCTATCGAGTTAGGCTTTATCCTCGCGATAATGCTCTCCAAATTGTTTTGCTTAGGCTGCTTACTGCCGAATCGACCTACCGAGTGATTACGATGGTGTTTCAGCGCGGTGTATACGCTGGCAGCATGAATACGTTTCAGTATGTCGGCATATATTTGATTGTCGGAGAGGAATGTTGGATTTTGCGTGATGGAGATGTTCGCAGTACTCGGAGTCGTGTCTCCTTCCGCTTTTGCGAAATATGTCTGCGTGTCCTCTTCGTAGCTGTCATTCTTATTCTGGATTGACGTTAGTATTATGTTATCGGAGCTGTTCGGTGTAGTCCAGTTTGATTCCTCTGACGCATTCTTCAGCAAGTCGTGAAACAGTAATATCTCTGGATCTTCATTGAAATAAGTGTGATTATCTACCTGCGACGATAGATTGTAGACACTCGCGATTCGCTTCACTGTATCGTTTGTAGTTTGAGCTCCTTCTGCCTTATCGATACCCGTAACACTTTCGATGCTTGTATTATTTGTCACAACGTAATCCGTCATATTCCGCAATCTGGAGACATCGAGAAGATTCGTGGCTTTTGTATTCTCCGTAGAATTGCGTATGTAGCTCAGCGCATTCTTGACGATATTCTGTACTTTAGATATTATCTCATTCACTTCCACGCTGCTGACGTTTAATTTATTCGACGCTTTTTCATCAATGAAGTAATAATTTCCCAGTGATGTCGCGTGTACGCCGGAGCCGACGATCTCCTCAGCATCAGAGAACACGTGAAAGCTCACTGGGAAATTACTCTCGAATATGCATTCGGTTTCCTCCGTACGTCGGACAGTGTTCATGTCGTCGTATCCAGCGAAACACAGAATCGCTGTGACGAGGAACGGCACGAGCCAATGACTGGTGACGAGAAGACTGGCCGGCTTCTTGTCGTCCTGCTTCGCCGTCTGAAATCGGAACGTTTTCATAATCTTCTGGACGATATTCGCGCTAACTACGTTACTCGGTTGAGAAGCCAACTCTCGTTGGTCTTCTGACGTCGCTCTTCTTCGACGCGCGACTTCAACGTGCTTCGTCTCAAGCCGAGCATCGCTCATTGACGATCTCATTGCATCGGCGCATCTTCGCTTCACGCACGCCACATTGAGATTACATTGTATGGCAAAAGTTAGCAGAGATATGAGCGCATTTGTCAATGGAGCGAGCAGTATTCCGTATTGCATAAATACATTCTTCGCGTCGCACGTCAAAGTTACGTTGGAGTCTACGTCACGAGCTGCCTCGCGGTTCAGTTCACGAGCCCGCGGGAACAGAAGCTTGTACTCGCCGTCATTCTTGATCGTCCACGTGCGATCAACCTCGGTATCGTCGGTATTATTTTGCCAGTTGTAACTAAATCTTACCCCGGCTTCGATGTGACTCACGAGCAGTACAATAGCTGTTACTATGGAACTGAACACGTCGGACGTCGATAGAATGTAAAACGGCGATCTCTTCTTGTGCTTACATCCTTCTCGCAGTAACGTCGCAAGCGTGATGAAACCGGATAACAATAACGTGTAACCCGCTGCGTCCAATATCGCGGGATGCATATTGAGATTCTTTGAGAGATGCCACTTGTTAGATTTCCCTGAGCTGATACTTTATACTGATGTTGTTGAAACTGCCACACTTTCAGCTTGGCAGGAACAGACTGGACAAAGCGATTTATTATAAGCGCATGCATACTGTAACGTTACTGTACGTATGTGGGTACTCATTTTACACCGTTGATATATATCTTTTTTTCGACGTAACGGTACCGACAGCATGAGGGTACAGAATACTTATCAATTTAAACTGGCGGTTCAACGTATCCATGTGTTGTTAGAACACTCGTGTCATAAATTCTTCGCTGCCGTTTGCTTCGTCGGGAATCGATCGACTGTGTTGTAAAATTGAGACTATTCTTAGTTATTCCTGGCAAATGCTGTCAGACTAGTTTCGCGGAATAAATGGAGCGGAGTTTGTTTTCTGTTACAGCGCACCGTCGACATGTCGATACGCCGGAAAAGCGATCCGTCTATGACCCAACGTATTTGGGATACAATTAAAATCACGGTGCATCAAAGAAGTTTACCCAGTAACGACCGTATGGTGCGACATTTGGCTCGTGTTTACGGCTTCACCGAACAGGAAGCTCAGGAGGAACTCAATAAGGCTGTTGAGGACGGTCTTGTCTTCTTGAAGAAAGTACCCACGAGAAACGGCATCGAGCAAGAGAGTTACAGATTACCGCCGATGGATCTATTGGCTACTGCCGACAGTCACGATTGGTATTGTTACAAGTGTCAAAGAGCAGGAGCAGTTGAGTGCTGCGAACAATGTCACAGAGTGTATCATCCGGAATGCTACAGCAGCAGTACTGTAAAATCGAAGATCTGTAACTTTTGCGAGGTAATTATCCTGATAAATAAATTTACACATAAAGATAAATAAATAAAAAAAATATATATATCACCTTACTTGACAATTTAGCTCCCTGTTTACGCGCCAATGTGTAATTTCGACGCATTAAGAACGTGATATTGCAGAAAATAAATAGCGACACATATCCCGACAAGACTGAGCTGAATCACATCCTCAGCTTCACATGCGGCCATCTGAAAGCAAAATTACCGCCGGAAATCACAAATCGCACGATCGTTTTTAACAACGGCCCAATCGTTACGCCCGCCAATGGCTTCTCCGGGCCAACCTGGGTGAGCGAGGGCGAGGATGCTTGGCGACCGAGTATTCTCGTAAAGAAACACATGGATTTGGCGATAATGGACGCAAAGACGAGCAACAAAGAGTACAAGAATCTCGCCGAGTTTGAGGCTGACGCGCACAATATTCTACACAACATCATGATATATCACGGAAGTATGGAGAATACGTATAGCTTCAAATGTCTATATATCTTACAATGTTGTAATGTATCTAGATACATTTATTTAATTACAGTTGATACATTTATCTAATTACAATATCTAGATACTTTTGGTGTATTTTTTATCTATAACTAGTTAGAATTTTTATTTCAGTAACTGTATCTGTAACTAATTTCATTTTATTTTGTATCTATATCTAAAGTGTTAAACTCACAGTATAGATAAAAGTACAGATTTAAGTCATAAGTAGATACACAAAAAGTATCTAGATATTGTAATTAGATAAATGTGTCTATTGTAATTAATAAATGTATCTAGATACGTTACAATATTGATATACATAATATTTATATATAATATCTATATATAATATCTTCTTCTGATGCACTCTGTTACTGGAGGTTTGCAATCACTTCTCTACTTTAGGCTGCTCTTAATAGGTTTTGGACATTTATGCCGGTCAAGTATCTCCTGAACAATCTGAATTATCGTATTAATTGTTGTTCCATTTTGCTCGCAGCTCAAAGCGTAATAGGGGACATGGGCCAATCGATGTACCAGGATTGTTGTTACGATCTTCAAGAGATTCGCCGTTGTGCAGACTGCTATCGCATATCGAATGAAAAGTCCGAAAAGATGTGGTTTTGCATACCGTGCAACCCTCCTCATCAGTTGGTCTATGCGAAGCAGAAAGGATATCCGTACTGGCCCGCCAAAGTTATGCAGGTTAACGGCAACGTGTACGACGTGCGTTTCTTCGGAGGTCATCATATGAGAGCCCACATCGAGAAAGTCTTTATTCGGCCCATCTCCTCTACGCCGCAAAATTTGCAAGTACGCACGAATATCCGCACTCTGGATTATTCTCGCGGTATAAAATCAGTTGTTAGTAAGATTAGTTTGTGATCGATTCTCGCAGATACGCGAGTAATATTATGTTTAGAGAAAAAAGATTTTTCGCGAAATATCGATTTAGAACTTGTAAACTCTAAGCGTATTAATATTCATAACGACGAATTCTTGTATAGCCTCCGGAAAAAGGGAAGTGGAAAGAAATGGAGGTACGCATGTTTAAAACAGACAAGCAAGAGTGTACAACTAATTTCTTTTCACGGCGTTTTTATAATCCCGTAATCGAGATATATTTCTCGTGTAACCAGAAGCTCTATCTCTCGTAGATAAAAAGATCTACGGCATGGAACAGGGCTTTCGAAGAGCTGAAGCATCACCAGCATTTGCTGGCGAAGATGGGGAAGAAGAAGGAGGACATTAATACTACAGAGGACGACGACGACGGTCCTACTCCCGCGAAAATACGGAATCAAGAATCGTCGAGTTCGAAGGGTGCATCGCATAGTTCGAATCTGCCGAAGCAGTTGATGAAGGATCTGAGAGTGAAAGTCGAAAGATTGAGCTCGGATGGACACGAGACGCAGACCGCGAACGATGCGGCAGATAACAAGGTCAACGCCTCGAAGAGCAACGGAGCGAACGAAGATAGACAGGTGCCTCATTTACCGGTGGCGGAGGACGAGCCCGCTCGGGAAATAACGAGTACCTGTCCGCAAGGTTTGAGAAAGGAGGGCTCACAAGAGGATATGGTCACGTCCAGTTGCCAAGAACCGAGATCGAAGTGCGTACTCGTGCAGACTGAACAAATTCAAGCGGATGGGCTTCCTCCAGCTAAAGTAAGTTTATGACTAAAAACTTCTCAAGATCGCGGTTGTCGATCGCCTCTCTTCGTGAAGTTTTTATTTGCGGAATAGCGAAATGCTATTTGATCACCGTACGCGAGTCGCATATTATTCCAAGATGTTACTGTCTTCTGCAATACAGAAGCTATAAATTACGCGCATGCAACTATTTTTTATTTGATTATTTACCGATGAAGCGAAACTTTCAGATCAAGAGGGAACGCAGAACTTCCGAACAACCGTTGACAACGGCGTTGGAAAAGTTACGTCGTGAACTGGAGCTTGACAAGTGTAGGGAACTGGAGAGACTACAGGCGGAATACAGGAAAGAGCTACGGCAAATGGAGCAGAGGCACAAACAAGCGATATCTGACATAAAAAAGAAACAATGGGTAAATTTTTTAGTTCGCCTTCACGATCTTTTTCTTTGAAATATGACTGTTTTATGTGCATGTAATTTGTTGTAGTGTTACAACTGCGAAATTGAAGCGATATATCATTGTTGTTGGAATACCGCATATTGCAGCACGGAGTGCCAACAAATTCACTGGCAACGCGAGCATAAAAGGGTGTGCAGACGTAAGCGTTAATTCACCTGAAGAATGCGACAAGTACAATAATAAACGCGTTTAAAAAAATAAGAGTATTCGTTTTCATATACATGTACATATACATATATATGTACAGAGTGTCCCGGGGAATATCCACCCCAATATCTCTGTTAGTAATCGTAACTATTAGATGTGATTAGATTAAATCTGTAAAAAAATGCTTGTTATGTAGTATCAAATCAAAGTAGATTCTATGTTTTTAATTTTATGAACAGAGAAAATAAAAACTTAAATAGTAAAATAAGCAAATAAATTTAAGATAACTATAAATGTAGAAACGAACGATAAATTTTCGTTTAATTTTTGACTAACTAGTGAATTTCTCCAATTAAATGTGCTAAGAATAGAAATGCAATGAATATGATATATATATATATATATATATATATACACACATATATATATATAGATACATACATATATACATACACATATATATATACAACGGAGAGAGAGGGGAGGGGGTGCTCTGTATGCATATATATACATATTTATATAAAATCTGTAGAAGCACATTAATATATTCTTGACACAAATTCAGTATGCCTTTATGAACTTCCATCTTAAAAAAGGTGGAAGAATTGTTATGTGTACACACAAATAAATCTTAAAAGACTGTTCTTACATGTACCAAGTGATACAGCAAAGTAATTTTCGAATGATCATAGTTTTATACATCTTGATAACTGTGCAACAAATTTCGAAGGAGGATGATGATTATAGGATCATATGTGTGAGAAAATAATTCTTAAGATATATATATATATATATATATATAATCTCGTTAATCTCTTGGCGTGTGCGCGCGCGCGCGGGCAATTATGTCATTCTTATTAGATATAATAAACTTTGGTTCCATATGCAATACGAATAACAGATTTGAATGTAACTGTATACGCGTGTTAATGATAATACGAACAAATGAATATTGTTACTAAATATTAGTAGTAATGGAAAGTTCTTAGCTTTAAGTTTTGCATCGACCGAAGCAACATTTTAAATCGAAATATTTTGCCGTCATTTTGCGGTTTTGAAGTGTTGATTAATGATTAAAAAACGCCATGTAACAAAAGGCATAACCTCAAAAGTTAATAGTGTTCATGATAGCAATAACTAAAGAGCATATTCGATTTTCTATCCAGCATCTCTAAAACAATGCTGCTGAAGTTGCCGAAATGATTTGTACTGCATATAGTGATAATGCTGTAAGTCACATAACGTGTAAAAATTAGTATAAAAAATTTCGCGACAGCAATTTTGGTCTGAAAGACGCCGCGTCCTCGACGAACTGTCAAGTTTATATCGGATGAGCTGCAGGTATTATTAAATCAAAACATAGCGTTCAAAAAGAACTTGCAGAACAGCTGGGAATCAGCCAAAAAGCCATTTCCGTTTGCATCAATTAGGAAAAATTTGGAAGAGAGGAAAGTGAATGCTGCATGAATTGCTGAAGAAAACAAAGTGTGCCAACACCACACTATCTTCTAAGTCGATCCAAACAAAAGGTTTTTTTGCAATGAATCATAGATGATGAAAAACTGATCCTGTACGATAATCTCAAGCGCAAAAAATCATGGGTAAATCTTGACTAGTCAATGACATTCATTGCAATATCCACAACAAGAAGGTTTTGCTCTGTATTTGGTGGAACTGAAAAGCTGTGCTCTATTATGAGCTGCTGAAACCAGATGAAACAATCACGGCAGATCGCTACCAGTAGCAACTCATTAATTTGAGCGATGTATTGCAGGAAAAGAGGCTATTTACTGGGCAAGGAAACCACAAAGTCATTCTATTGCACGACAACGCACGGCCACATATTGCTGAGGCGACGAAGCTGATCATCGTTGGGCTAGGAACTTCTTCTGCACGTGGCGTATTTACCAGACATGGCTTCTTTCGATTATCATCTATTCCGGGCAATGCAGCATCACTTGGCTGATACACACTTTAGAATAGAAGTTCGAAAAAGCATCGATAACTTTATCGTTCGAAACCAATGTGCTTTTATTACCGAGAAATTCGCAAGCTGCCCGAAAAATGGCAGGTTATCAATAATAACGAGGAATATTTCGATGATTAAGTTATTTCCGTTTGTTTTCAAATAAAGATTGAATTTTGCAAAAAAGAGCTAAGAACTTTCTACTATTACTAATAACTGATTCTGGATTATTGATCAAACTCGTCTTCATGTATTTCACCTTTTTGTGATTCTTATTTCAATTTTTGTTTATCAAATTAAAATATCTTTTTATGACAAAACAGCAAGTCATTTAGAAACATCAGTATATTTATTTTAGTAAAACACATATACACACAAAACAATTTTGTAATCAATATACAGTGTTGCAGAATGTGTTTACATATGTTGCACTAACACTACATATATTAAAGAATCTATATTAATTAGTTAATATATTATGTATTGAGTCAGTAAAAATTTAAATAACAAACAAGATTTCTAAAGATTATATAACAGTTTCTAGGAATCCTATATATATA